ATAGGCTTTATCCTGGTATCCCCCTTAATAAGCCGTGCAATACTCCCAAAATAACCCCTATGTCACGCCCCTTCAAGGAGTTTAGACTATACCTCACCTGGGGTATAGAAAACCTTCAAGTTCATTTAAAAAATCCAGAAGCCACTGCTTCAAACTCTAACCTCTCAAGATCCCCCCACAACGAGGCCATTCAGTCAATCAGTTTCAACATTTTACATGTGCAAGCGGCAACAAGATGAGAACCCAGAAATCGAAAATGTCAGTTGCATACTGCATACCGCTACGCAGCCTAGTCCCAGCCGCCCGCTATCCCCCTCCGATCTCATGTCCTCAAGAACCCCAACAGCTTCATAAACCCCGAACCCTGAACCCGAACTCCTTTGCCGTCTATGACTTGGAGGATAGGGGTGGTATGACAATCCCGTTCGAAGGGCTAAAGGGCTCTGTCCTATTGACGGTTCCCTAAGGCCCTAGGTATTTACCCTAAGCCTCTATAACCACTTGCAGGCGACAGAAAGTTGACTCTGGCCCCTTACCCTCCGAACCGCTGCGGGCCTTACAAATGCCGAGCCCCCCTTATATTAGCTATAGTCTAAACTCCTAATATCCCCCTTAAGATCCCTATAGTAGTCTTCTATAGAGTCCTCTATTTCCCTTTTAAGGAGTTGAGACTATAGCCTATAGCTCATATAGAGGCAATTTTGAGAAACACATATAGCAATCCTCAAAATCTCGCATGAAGGCGTAGGAAGATTCCAACATAAGACACCCTACCCCCTAAACCCCCCAATCCAAAAACGAAACACTACGCAGCCCCAGGAAGACGCAAAACACGACGGCGCATAAGCCTCAGAATAAACACCAGAAACCCCTCTGTAAACCCTTTTTGCTGCAGGCTTGCTGAGGTCCACATCCGCCCTAAACCCTTATCCCTGAAACCTACACTCTGAACCCACAAAGCTTGACACCCCCCAAACCCCAGACTCTGAATCCCGAAGTTCTGCAACGTAGAAGCCTGAATGATTGGCAGTATGATATGGTCCCCTGAGATCCCTTCTAGAATGCGACGTAGTACTGGATATAAACCCTATACAATATAGTAGTTTCCACTTTATTTTCCATTATCTCAATATAACACCTACATAACCCCTATAGAATATAGTAGTTTCCATTTTATTTTCCATTGTCCCAATATAATGGAGAGGTGTACCCCAAAAACCCTATTCAACTGACTTAGGCTTCCAGAAACACCTCTGAAAGTCCAGTACCCATTTCATGTTCCATGCTCTTTTCCAGTTGGTTCTCGGTTATCGCTCAAATCCTACATCAACCCTGAACCCTAAACCCTAAACTCCAATCCCCAAAACCCTAAACACCCTGGATCTAAAACGAACTGGCCTTGCAGGCTTCGATCGCTGCCTCAAACTCGCTCTCCGGCTCGCGAAGAGCGTTGATCAGGCACTCGATCCTGCCACGTGCGCACACTGGCCTGGGTTTTGAGGTGTAGGGGTTTTGAGGGTTTATCAGCTTAGGAGAAGGGGATTTGGGGCGTTTGGGGGGGTTAGTGCATGATTTAGGGATGATGGTGTAGGGCCCGTAGGGTCAACGGTCCAGAGCTGAATTTCTAGCAGCGCTATTGCATGGCTTAGTTGCTCAAGTTACTTACCCCCTTGTGGGAACATGCCTCAATGCTAGCCATACCAGTAGTACTGTATATTACTATGACCAGGACTGTTGCTACTACCCTCACCTCAATATTACGAGTACTAGTACCGATACGGTTACTATTCTGGTGCACTGGGCAGTCAGAATAATATAACTTAGGAGAACCCCCCACCCTGTAATAGTGGTATAATAGGAATATAAGTGGACCCTAATATAATCCTTATTATCCATAATAATCACTATTACTGGGTGGGGGGTCCACCTAAAGTATAACACGGAACCTGAACAGTTCCCTGTAAGGATGGCACTCTCCTTAACAGGGCTCTAGATGAGTAGTGTTTTTTTGGTGGTTAAACCCAGTAAGATGATATTCCTGATATAAAATACTATACCCCAAAAGGAGGATATAATCTTACTCTATATTGGGTACCATAGTATCCCCAAATGAAATACTACTCAGATGGGTTTCCACGTTTTTGGGGGGATCAAACGGATTTATTGCACTAATCCTTGGGTACTGCCCCCCCTCAGTAACAGTTGGATAATAATTATAATAGGGTTATATATAGCCTTTAATAGGACCCCTAACATAGACTGTTACTGGGTGGGGGCAGCACCCAAACTAATCCACTCATTCAGGCATGCCTTAACCTTAAAGCCTTGAGCCTGGCATTCATCCCCAACCTTAAACCCTTTGCCCTAAACTCCTTATAGGGACTACTATAGGGGTTATTAAGGGGGAGACTTAACTTGCCTTCAACCCCAAACCCTAAACCCTTAACCCTAGCCTTGAACCCTAAAACCCCTCACCCCAAGCCCTTAACCCTCAACTAAAACCTGAAACCCTGACCTTAACCCCAACTTGAGCCGTCCTCAGCACGGCTCGCCACTCAGCCTTTGCAGCCACCTCTTGAACGAAAGGCTTCACAAAAGGGGCCACGGCAGGGGCCTAGATAATCAAAACAAGGCTTTTGGGGTTTGAAGTATCCTATATAGCATAACTTATACTGTTCCGGTATGAGGATGAGGAGGCGATAAGATTGGTAAGTGTTCAGGGTTATACATTACTCTCAAGTCTGTATTCGAGGAAAAAGATGAGATAAGGACCATGTAGACAGTTGTCTTGATGGTCTCACATGGCAAGGTTGGACTGGGTTCGAGAATTTCGAGATCTAAGCCCTAGAGTTCGGGATTTGCAGCTGTGGATGTGCCGGTGACCCTCATAATCGGAATAAGGGGCTGAGTGCGGTACTCATCCAGGAAGGGGAGTACGCTGGAGAGCTTTGATGGCACACAATAGCCCTGCGGCGGCTGCCCTCTCCATCCCCTCAGCCTCTGCACATTTCGCACCCCCGAGGTCAGCTTGAAGAGTGGATGCCCATCTTCCGTGCTCACGGCTCGTTGACGCACAGCAATCATCCGCAATGAGACGTACTCAGAACCTGCCGCTGAGATGACCCAACCACGCATCGGCCGGAAAGCAAGGATGTTCCAAGCAAGATCGGGATACTGGCCATGCTCTCATCTGCCACCTTTCCATTTCTTCAAGATTAACTGAATGCATCGCCCCTAAGGAACTTTGGGGCTCCTTCCAGAAATGATAATCCCCAGCTGCGGTTTAGGTTTAAAGTGTCGATGAAACTCATGCTACGGTCTTAGAATGCGACTTGGCCATACATGCTGTCAAGTAGAAACCCTACCTACAATTTTCAGAGGCAGCATCAGAATGATGAATCAGGAAGGGGCCACGACAAAAACGGCAGTTCTGTGTCTTTGGTAACAGAAATGGCGGTTTTGCGTCCTAGAAGGTTAGGGAGAAGAGATTGGATTTTACAATCACTGTTCTGGCAGGAGAGGTACACCAAGTAGGGAACAAACAGTGATAGTCGCTAAAGTCTAAACGCCAAAACCTCGCCGCCTTATACAGAGGTGATCTTTGATATTTCCCCAAAAGTAGGCGGACCCCAACATAGACCCTAATACACCATAATCCTTACTATAGGAACCCCAAAAAAAGTAACTACAATTTCGGGAAACCATAAACCTGGGAAACTATAAACCCTAATCCAAAAACCCTCCATGTCCCTATATAACCCTGATCAACCCCTTTAAGGTACCCCCAAGTTTGGGAAACCCCCATTTGGGTCGAGGCTTCGGGTTCAGGGTTTGGGGTCTAGAGCGTTGGGTGTGGGTTTTGTTGGTTTGGGGATTAGGGTTTAGGGTTTAGGGCTTAGGGTGTGGGGTCTAGGGCTTGGAGTTTCTAGAGCTCAAGGGCTCCAGAAAACCTTGAAATGGATGAAGTATCTTTGGGGATTTTAGGGTTTAGGGATCTGTCAAAATGGGCAAGTTATCAGCAGAACTCTAGCCAAGCCGTAGGGTTTAGGGTGTAGGGTTTGGGGCTTAGGGTTTAGGGCTTAGGCTTACCCTTGCAACTATGGCAGTGTCGCATACCTAAGGGTACTGCAGGATGTTTCGAAAAGCGTGCAACCTAAACTCTACACCTTATAGCTACATGGGTTGTTCCATAAATCGGCCCTCAATACGGTCACCAATATACTGTAATCTTCATTGTAAGTATTTTTGAAAGGGGTCCTGGCATTTCATCATCCCTAAACCCTGAACCCTGAACGTGCCTTTGAAACAACGCTGAATATCCGCATGCATTTCAACTCCAAAACCCCCATGCTCCAAAAACCATGGTCCCACCAAGAGCACTTCCAAAACACAAAATCCCGAATCTTGACCCCTAAAACCAAAACCTTAAATCTCATACCCTAAACCCTAAACCCTAAAACCAAAACCCTGTCCTCATCCCTCAAGCCTAGATCCTACACCCACATCCTACATCCAAAACCCTAACCCTTGCGGTTAAGGGTTTAGGGTTGGGTTTAGGTGGGCCCTACTGAACCCTCAACAGCCTGAGCACGCCCGCAGGTTTACTTGAAGGTTCAGGGTAATTATAACCCAAGTATGGGGGAGGGATTATTTGGGAATATATGGGGCTGAAATACAGTGTAGGGGAATAACCCAAGAACGGTTTATCACGTAAACGACATGCAAACTGGGGATGCATAGGGGTATGTATATATATATATATACATATAATGTGTGTGTATATATATATATGTATATGGAAGGATTTGGGTTAATGCAATGGCAACCCAATCACAACTGATACTTATAACCTAGCATAACCACATAAGGGGATTTAGGGGCTGGTCTTTGGGCTACAAGCACAATGATAATGGCTTATAATTAGGGTTTAGGGTTTAGGGTTTAGCCTAAGCCTTCAAGTGAGAGAGCTCTGAACTTCGGAACCCTCGGCCAAAAGATGCCTCGTTCTCCTTGGCCAGGGACACGACGTTGTCATAAATGTCCTGACAGCACAGCTGTGACAAGGAGTCTTCTGCTGTAAGAGAACTGATGCAACATCAATACAATACTTCGCACGAACCCTACCCCTAAACTGCCCTTGTTGATGCGAATACTTCTCCAGAAGTAAGGCGCCTAAATTCCCTAAATCATCGTTCAAAAAAGTGTGCTGAAGATTGTGTTTCTGCCTGGCCTTCTTGCCAGCGTAGCAGTCGGAATACTTGCCTTATTCGCGGCAGATTTTGGGGCATGCTTGGAGAGCTTAGGGTCTAGGGCTGAGGGTTCTTAGGGTTTAGGCTTTAGGGTTTAGGCTTTAGGGCTTAGGGTTTTTCATTTAGGCCCAGGATTTGGGGCCCAGGGCTTCGGGTTTAAGGTATTTAGGGTTTACTGTTTAGGGTCCGCGGTTTCTGTCTTCCACCCTAGTGGTGGGAAGCTACAAAAACCTTTGGCATGCAAACTTCCCGGCACCTGTCTCGTAGGGGTCCTTGTGCCTGGTTTCCTGAGAGGACCTGGATGAGCTATAGTCTATATGTCCTACATAACTTACTGGTCATGGGTAAAGCCCTATGTCCACGATCCCTATGTCCACTGTTAAGGGTCCTTAAATAACGCAAATATTGGAAGTTGGGCACACTGCGGAAGGTGAGAAGCAGGGACCTGCAATTTTCAGCGAGCAGCCCTGAACTCTCAGCCCCAACCCTCAAGCCCCAATGCCTAAACCTTAAACTCCTACACCCTAAATCTTAAGCCCTTAAGCCCGAAACCGTAACCATCTTTGGCATGCGAGTTAAAATGCGAGGGATTACGGGCCCTCCAGGCGCCGGGCTTAGGATTTAGGGTTCGAAGATTGAGGGGTTTGGGGCTCAGGCCAGGGCGCTGCAAGTGTACTCCTTGTGGAGATCGCACGACTTTTGTTCGAAGGTACCCTGTGTCAGGTCGCAGGAGATCTTCTTGTCCTTGACTGACTTCATGTAGGGCTTCTGGTTTGGGGCTTTAGACCCTGAATCTTAAACCCCAACCGCTTAAGGTGGGCCCTGAACCCTGTGATGGCCAATCTATTCATGCTAAAGACCACATAAAGCCATTCCCTCTTGCTAGTTACTCTTTGCCACCAAGTTTTGTAGGTGGCAAAACACGCCGTTGAAAAACAAATTGAAGCCCGTCGTCTTCTTACTGGCGCTGGAGCAAGAATGGGGGATAATTATAGGAGAGCATGTACAGATTATTGGGGTTGACATGCGGATCCGCTCTACCACTCCAGCCCCAAATGACCAATAAGTCATTGATAGTTGGTATTGTAAGCGTTTCACAACATGCCTCTGCAGGGTATAGTTGGGTTGGGTTCTGCACGACAGGATCTAAATAGCATCTGATTAATCCTCAGCGAAACCTACAAACACGTTACACAACCCTTTTATGTATGGTCTCCAGACTGGACACTCAATATATACACGCGCCAATGTTCCTGAGGAACCCTATACACACTCACCCAAAACCATTATGAAAAGCTTGCTTCACTCAGGCCGAAATTCCATTCCATGTTCCATTCCCGTGTCCAAATGATTCGTCACTATTTCCCAAGTTTGAATGCCGAATATACCCCTATACATATGTACCCAAATGTATATTTCATGAAAGTATGATTACTCCACATCTCGCTGCGGCAGAGGCGCGTGGTATTGGCAGAGCTTCTGCTTGCACAGCTCCTCGTTCGGAAATGGAGTGTTGGTGGCGTTCCTGAGCTTGGGTTCGGGACATATATCATATACTGCAAAATGTTAAAGGTTTCAGCTTCCAATGCCCTAAACCCCAGGCCCTTAACACTTAATCACACTCAGGGGTTTAAAAGCCACCCCTAAACCCCAATCCTCATCCCACAAACCCAAAGCCCCCGCCCAGCAAGCCCAAAAAAACCGATCCCCTAAACCCTAAACCCTATTATGACGGCCCAGGTTCGTGCACTTGTCCTTCCACTCCTTGAGAAGGTCCTTAGTCCCGAGCGGGGATGTCAGCGCTTCAGGGTTTGGGCGTAAAGTTTAGGATGTATGGTTTAGGGCTCATGTTTCAGGATCTTGGGTTTAAGGTTCAAAGTTAAGGGTTAAGGGTTTAGGGTGTAGCATTGGTCTGCTGACCGCTTAGTATGCAGACAAAGCACCCAAACAGGACTCACAGCAATATAAACCAAAAGGGCGAGTAATCCAAGGCCAGCCAAACCCTGCACTTACATGAATAACATCCGTGCTGACATCAGCATCTCTAGTTCAAGCATTCATTCCAAGAAAAGCAGTCTTAAGTCAAAGAAAAATACCCACTCGCCCATTGGGTCCCACGACATTTGGAAAATATGTCACCTTCAAAATACTTCAACTCACGAAACGACACCCTTCCACCACACGTTCCCCAGTATGATTTAGCGCCAGAACACTGCACCGAACCCTAACACCCGAACTTAAAAAAAAAACCCAAACCCAGGATGAAGCCCAAACCTTGAAGCCCGAACCCAGCCCGAAAGCCCGAACCCTACAGCCCGAGCCTTAAGCCCAGAAACCTAACTGTAAGCCCTGAACCTTAAATTGAAGCCCTGAGCCCTAAACTCTAAGCCTAGACTCGGAGCCCTGAACCCCAGACTCTAAGCCCTGAACCCTGAACCCTAAAATCAAAGCCCTGAACCCTTGCAAAGTGAGACCAATGAGCAGGGTCAACAGACCAGTTGAACCCGTGTCGGGTTTCCATGTGGGTGACACCGTGGGTGAAACGAAAAAGCGTGGCATTGAGGGTACGGAGTAGGTAACCCAAATTTATGGCTCCCTCCTGCAGCTCCCAGCTGCCAGTTTTGATATGCATACGGCATTGATCAACTATTGGCAACTCAGTACACGAGCAATTCAGGGCAACATATATAGTTGTCTTGGCCGGTGCAACTGAATGCGTGGGCGTAAGCCACAGCTCCAAATCACGCAGCACCAAATTTCGATAGCAAGACTCGAAGCCCAGAACCAACCCAAGAACCCTAAATTCTCAGCTTTGAGCCCTAAACTCTACGGTCTGAACCTCGACTCTCAGCCCTGAACCCTAGAACCCTAAATTTTCAGCCCTGGGCCCTAAACTCTGGAGCTGCTGCGGGGGGGCTGCTCTCAGCCTTAAACCCTAAACTCTGAGCCTGAAACCAAAAGCAGGCCTTCTTGTCGCTGACATAATTTGCAAAGAAACGGAGGTATCGCTTGACAGCTCTGCCTGTGCCATCCTCGGTCCGATCCACGTCCTTGTTGGCGGTGTTGAAGTACTTGCATGCGTCGCGGAACTTCTTCCCGTCGAGCGAGTCCAGCATCTGGAGGGGGTCATGGAGGCCCAGCTTCCGCGCTGCGGCCTCAGAACCCTCCACAAAATGATAGCGCAAGAGTGAAGAGCCCACCTCCAGGATGGCTGCACCTTCACAGATGGCAAAGCCGTGTCACGAACAAAACTCGGAAGACTCGTTGTCCAGCACCGTGTGAATGTGGCTGCTGGTCAGCGGGTCATTCTGGGCAATCTGAATGCTGCCGCCAAAAGGGCTACTGCTTTGATCAGTATACGGGCGGAGACACCACTTGGAGAGGCGGTCGATTCGCGCGACCTTTCGAATGTAGTCCTTCTTGCCGGCAGGCCCTGCTCCTTTCTTGCCCCAGTCGGCCTTAGCGGACTTCTTGCGTTTGGTACCGACGCCCTTGATGGAAGCGGCTGGAGACTTTCCGCAGGAGGACATGACAAAGAGTCAGGCTAGGACCAGAAAGAAAACAAATCGAACTTGGGCAAAGCTTGAAGTGCTGTGCAAACAGAAACATGCACATGTCAACGCAAGCTTCGGTGCTGCCTCTCTCGCTACTACGCGGCAGATGACAGCATTTCCCCACACCACGGATACATTGATCCAACAGCAGCCGGATATCTCCAATATCCCCGCCATGTTTCAGATGCACAGAGCACGGGCAACCAGAGCACTCCAAGCTTCCTTGAGCTCCCCTGCCTGCATCATGTGCTGGTATCATGCGCTGTCTCAGAGAAGCCGTCAGCCGTGACGCGTCCAAGTGGTCATGCCCATGCCTCAGATAGACGCGCAAAACAAACACGATTCGGTGGATTGCTGGGGATTCTGGAACTATCGAATTGCTAGGAGGAGTCCTGGTATTTCATACACTTCTGGCAGGCCAAGTAGGATCTCCACACGTCCACGTCTTCCAAAGTCTACATTTTGGATTTTCCAGGGTCTCTCGACTTCTTGAATGTGCGGCATTTTGGAGATAAGCAGCATTCTCGGAATTGTAGATCGTTTGCAACTTCTGAATTCCTGCGGTTGCTGCGGCCATGGAGCTTCGAAACTTCTACCCTCAGCCAGCCAATCTTCCAAACAAGATAAGTAGAAGGATCTGTTATAAAGCAAAAGAGCTATGGATTCCAAGACACAAAAACACTGCTGCGCAGGCTTGCAGCCACGGAGCAAAATCAAAAATCGAATTTTCGCGTTTCCTCCAAAACCTCCTGCGCAAACAAAGTTCCCAGGAGCCGCCACCGAACCCTGAAAAAACGAATTGCCACCAGATAGCATAGTGAGACGCAGTAGGTTTTGTAGGAAAACTTCCACCGCTTTAATAAGGCATATGAAAATCGGCTCGGCCAGTGGCCGTGGTAGATTAACTTTCGCCGCCATCGCCGATTTGTGGCATCAGAACCCCAGGCGCCATGCGCAACGCACGGACGGTGATCTTCGAATATAGCAGGGCTTGATACCCCGACGAAGGTTTCGTGTCCTAGGAGAACACACAGGCCCGGATAGTTGAAAACGGCTCTAGAAGTCGGCCCGGATCCGGCTGACAGGTATACGAGAATGGGCCGGAAAAATCAGGAGGGCGCTTGGGCAAACACGGCCGTAAAATCCAGGTATGCTTTGGGCCCCCACGAAGAAGATTCCCCGACAAGTGTCCGGGGGGAGCCCCCCGCACAAAAAGGGTCCCAGGTGTGTGACCTGCAGGAATCGCAGCGGCGGCCAAAAAGCGTCTCCACATGGCCAGTGTTTAGGCTAGGTTTTTCGCCAGGCCGCCCACCCACCTACAGAATGAGAGGGGTGGTGGCCTGGACGTTGAGCTGAGCCCAAGCCAGGTTGCAGGGCACCTCGTCCGAGCAATGGGTAATGTAATATAAGAGCGTGACAGTGCTTGGCGACAAAGCTTGGCGACCAAGCTAGGCGATGGCCTCAGAGGTGGCTCAGCAGGCTCTGCAGCTCAGCAGAGTCTGCCATGGTCTCGCTGGCGCTCGACGCGCCCACTCACCTAAAGAATGAGAGGGGTGGTGGGCGGGTTCAGGGTTTAGGGCTAGCGAACCTCTCTGGAGAATCAGACGGAAACAGAAATGGAAAATGGAATGGAAACTGAGGCTACACAGGGGGTTCTAATTCTTAGAGTTTAGGGTTTTGGGTGGTTGAAACAAGTAAGTTTATCTTCCTGCTATTAACTAGCATCAAACAGGAGGAAACAATCTTACCATTGGTAACTACGGTATCCTTAAATCATATACCCTAGGCCCTAAACCCTGAACCCGTTCATGCTGGGGTCACGGAGGGGACCAGCAACTCCTATGCGCGCCGTAGAACAAGTTCCCAGCTTGTTCAGTAGATGTTACGTTGGGCTCCCACCGCGTCATAGCGGGAAAATAGGAATACGCAGAGACATTAATATGTTTACCACGATCCCTTGTGGTGAGTATTAACCGGGGAGCCAAACCCAAACTATGTGTAAATTCTTCAAAGTAGCTGTCGCCAAAAATTGCTATAAGGTACGTTCCATGTTTGGTTGCGACCCACTCTTCAGCAAGTGTATCTTCAAGTGTTCCTACTTCACACTGGAACAACCCTCACGTGTCTTACTACAGGGCTTTGGCATCACAGGGCTTAGGTTTAGCGCTTAAGGCCCAGAGTTTACTACAGCATCCTGAAAATCAGAAAAGAACTTCGGGGGACCCTCTGCTACAAGTGCAGACAGACAACTACGGAATGGCATTCCTGTATCTTCGGACTTCTACATTACCCAGACACCGAAAAGTCAAAAATACACGACCCTAACCCCATAAACCCCATACTGCGTATACCACCTCCCCCCAGCAACTGTCTATAACAGGCCTAGCACTAAGGCTATGCATGATTATACTATAGATCGTCTACAACCTTTTCTGAGTTTGGGCAGTAACCAACCCATACTTGAAGAGATTCGACTCAGAAGTTTGTTGGGACTTGTTTTGGGATTTAGGGTTAAGGGTTTTAGGGTGTAGAATTTAGAGACCCTGAAAGCTCAATCCGAATCCTTAGAATTCCATAATTGAGGGGGCACGATCATCTCCTGCAGTTTCTTCCCAAGCTTTTCGTATGACAACTGACAAAAAAACCCAAGGCCCCTGATCATACTGAATAGTAGGAAGTAGACTATACTATGCCATCTTCCGCCCGCACGCATGTAATAGTTTCCATATTTCTGTCCAGTCAGTCCCCACCAACAACCAGCACGTGAACCCCAAATCCCTAGACCCTAAACCCTAAATCCCAAACCCTGACCCTCAATCCTTTTTGCAAAACAAAGTTCGTACTTCTCAGTGAAAAAGGCCTCTGCCGCCAGGAGATAGTTCCCAATGGTGGGCACCTGCGGGTTTCGGGTTGAGGGCTTGGCTTTTGGGATAATATACTATACTATACTACACTATAATATACTATAATATACTATAATATACTATAATATACTATAATATACTGTAAGATACTATAGTATACTATACTATACCATAATATACTATGATATAGAGGGTTTAGGAGTGTAGACTGTTGGGTCGGGGGTCAGGCTTGAGGGTTTGTTGTTCGCTTTGTAAAGTTTAGGGCTTAGGGTTCAGGATGTGCGGATGGCTGGTACCTGCAGATACAACTCCCCTTTCCTGTTGCTTTAAGGTTTCGGCGAGTCCTTACTTAGACTTG